AGGTAACAACCGCCGGGACCCTTGTTGCATTTGGATTAGAAGTTTCAGGACTACTCCTTGACCTACTGTTAGATGAACTAGGATCAGAAGGGGGAGAAATGCCTGACATCTTGACCCAAACTCGGCTGAACTTTTGCGCTCAACTGCAACGATGTGATCCAACGCGAGCTTTGCTCAGCGTCCCAAGCAAAAGTGTGCAGTGATGGGACAAAAGACCAATGCAGCACAATACTACCTCAACCAACAAAGTCTTCGCAAGTTGGATATTAAGATAATAAAGTGCAATTGAAATTAATTCAAGTTGTGTTGAAGTTCGGATGCAATACGGCTTCGCTAGCGGTAATGACCCTAGCTCTGACCGCAAAACAACACTGAACTAAAAACAAAAGGCAAAAGGCAATTGGACAATGGACACTTGGCAAACGACAAGGACAGACCGACGAACGTAGCGAGCAAGCTCAGCTACCTCGGCGTTGAAAGCCTATCGGATGCTGTAGAACCGCTGGACTTGTGCCAGGGTCTACCAAAGTGACTTATCGTCCTGGCCCCCAAAGTTGGGGTAAAACTGATTGGTCCTAAGAGGGACTGGGCGGCGAGTTTCCAGGATCTTGGCGACCCCTTCAAGACGTAACCAGTCCTCTACCTCAGCAATCCAGCAGAGTTCCCTGTCAGAACGCCCCTCTGAGCAGATGGTTTTAATGCCGAGTTGCCTGCACTCGTTCAGGATGTCAGAACGGTCGTCGATGAGACAATGTGCCTGAAGAGCGGAGATGATAGAGGATTTGCCCTGCCTACCGCAAGGATAGCGTGCCAGGTGCACTTCTCTAAACGGCAAACCTTCTGCAATGAGCTGGCTAATCACGTGCTCAGCACCGGCCTTGGTGCTGTCAATCTTAGATTGGCCGGCGTATGAGACAATGTGGAACTCAATTTGATTACCAGCAATCCTAGTCAGTGACCGAAGCTTATCAACTAGATGGGAAGACAATTCACCTACGGGGTTGAGAGCCTGGTCAATGGTGTCGTGCCAGTCAATACAAACAACTACGTTGGATGTATTAACGTGGACTACCTTAGAGACTAAGTTGGGTTGGTGCTGGTAATGTCGCGGCACAGAGCCAGCGACCCCCTCAGGCCGATCTGGTGTTGGGTCAGGTAAAGGCCGCCCACGGACGTGGGGTGCAAGGCCAGAACCTGAGCTTTGCTCTTGATGCGGCTGCTGCTGTCCTTCGGGATCAAGTGGAGGCAAGTCTCGGGACGGTGGACCAGCAGGTCTTGGCCCCCCAACTCCTGGCGGAGGAGGTTTTACGGGCTTAAGGTTAGCTGGATTAGGGGGAACTGGCCTATTAGGTCTTGGGGGAATTACCACAGGTGCAGCGGGTGCAGCAGGTGCCACGGGTGCAGCAGGTGCCGCAGGCGCAATGTCCACAGGTGGACGTTTCCAAGGCAGATTCTTCTTTTTCTCTGGAGCTGGTGGCAACGGTTCTGGCCTTTGGGGCGTGTCGGGGACAGCAGCCCCCTTTGCACGGATTGGCACAGGAACGGAACTAGCTCTTTTGCGAGACTTAGATGAAATCTTATTGGAAATTGGTACTTCCCTTCCCCTTGCCCTGGCAGCAACTGCGGGCGCAGTTTCGGCTGAGGGTGCTCTTGACCTGGATCGCGCAACGGGAGAGCCGGCTGGCTCCGATGCAGTCTCTGTCGCGACACGGGCTGTGTCAGCGACCCCAGTTCCAGCACTTTGCAAAGACTGCCTCCAGGGATAAGCTGAACTACTAGAACCGCTTAATGGGGGAACAGTCAAAGATGGTACTGTTGGGGCTGCGGGTGATGGTGCAGCAGAAACTGGATCTTTTCTGGGCTGTGCCGGCTTATCACGTTGGATTCGGGAGGTTCTTATGTTAGGACGTTGTCTCTTTGGTGGAGACTCAATTGGACGGGCAGGGGTGCGCTCAGCGAAGCCAGCGTCGAAAGGTTCTTGCTGGCCGACAAATGCCTGACCTGATGAAACAAACCTGGCGGTTCGAGTCTCAGCAGTTTCAGAGCCCTCAGATTCTGTACCGGGGTTATTGGTGTCAAGATTATAAACACTATTGGGGTCTAAGTTACTTGAACCAAGAACAGTCCGATGGGATCTAAGTGCAGGATCACGCCACAACGAGTCGGGAAGCTCGTGTGGGTTGACCCCAAGCTCTGGTGCCACGGCGTGCGGCACAATGAACGGCAAAGTCTGCGGCGCGTACGCGATCGGAGGATCAGCGACCCTAGCCCAGGTGCCAGCGGAGTCAATTCTAATTTCGGGGTAACCGTGCACTTGGGGTCTTAAGGCAAGAGGTCTCCTAGAAACACCGGTTATGGTTCGGGCTCTAAAAAGTTCTTGATTAAGTTCAATGCGCTCACGGGTCTCCCTTGGGACTAGATTGACAGGCAATGGCGGGTTGGACCTAGTTCTTTTAGGCCTACGACGGCGCGTGGAAACCTCACGGCCGTGCTCTGTTGGTGCAAAGTCAGGGAATTCGGGTTCAGCTTCGGCCTCAACCTCAACTTCAACCACTTCGTCCTCCTCCAAAGCCTCCTCTTCCTCTTCCTCCTCCACCCACTGCTCCTCTTCAGGCGGTGGATCGTTGGGACCCTCCGGAGCAGCCTCTTCTCGCGCCTCTGCTGGCTGGGAACTGCGGGCAGCGAGCTCCTGTGCAGTTGGCGGCGGATGAGATGGTGGTGGTGGTAAAGGTGGTTGCTTATGAAGGGTCGGACTAGGGGGAATGTTATTAGGTGGAGGTGGCAAACCTTGGATTCTATCTGCAAGGGTTGTGGCACTAGAATCAGGAGCTTTAGGCCTAGCTTTAGCTGGTGGCTTAGCAGGGCTAGCAGCTGGGACTGGTGCTACGTCGCGCCCAGAGGCAGCGACCCCTTGAGAATCTGACTTTGGGGCTTGTGGGACCGGATGGACAGAGACAGTAACCCTTGGACGCGGTGGCACTGCTGGCTCAGGTGGCCTTCTCAAAGAAGGTTGCCAGTTCGGCGGTGGGTGCCCAGGCTCCTTGGGTCCTTGCTGGACCGGAGTTGGATCTGTGCCTCCACTTGCCGCGCCAGCAACGGGTGTTGCGGCAGCAGGCCTTACCACTTTTGGACGGGGTTGCTGCTGTGGGCCTACGTATCTATAATACCTATCCCACTCTTCTGGGCGCGGGTGCTCTGCCCCTAAGATGCGTTGATTGATGATCCTTTTAGGGGGTAGTTCACCAGAGTTTATCACTTGTTCACCGTGTGAAATACCTCTGCGCCTGTCCAAACCGTAGATGTGTGCCCACTCTTTGTATGGGATGAGGATTTGATAGGCCAAAGCTAAACACTGTGATGTTGGGAACTCCTCAACAAGTCTTGAATGAAGAGCTATCAACCAGCGAGTGCTTTCGTCGGCGTATTCGTAAGAAATCTTTCTTAACCAAAAGCCACCTACAATATCCCCTCCGGAGTTATGGTAAAGCCAATTTTGGTATGCCTCGAAGTCGTTCCACCAAGCTCGCTTTGCTTCTTGCCACCTGGTTGTGGTACCACCCCTGCTGGATCGAACCCTTGGTCGATGGGCTGTTGATGAACTAGCGGGGGAATGTCCTACTTGGATAGGATCGGCACCTGGGTCAACAAGATTAGGGCTAGTTGGTGGTGGGACTATTTGATCGGGGCAACTAGTGTTGGCTTCTGTCGCGACACCGGATGTGTCAGCGACCGCAGGCTCAGGCACGGATGCAGATGGTTCGGATGCAACGGATGCTTCTCCTACTGGACCCGCCTCGTCACCTAAACCTAAAAGATCAGCTGTCTCAGCTTCTGGATCGGCTTGCTCAGCAAGAGGCAACGGCTCACCTGCAGGACGGTCTTGACCATCTTCCTTCACACGATCTAAATCAGCAAAGGCGGCTTCAGCTGGAACTTCGTTGGGGTCAGCCTCAACCTGATCAAAAGCTTGGTCTGCAGTGTCCGTCGCGACTTCGTCAGCGACCTCTTCTGGCACTCCAATCACAGAAAGAACGGCACCCAATGTTGTAGCCTCTTGGAACTCCTCCTGCTTCACCTCCAACAGATGTCCTTCGGCTCGATCTGTGTCAGCTACTGCAGATGTTCCTTCAAGAGACGGCTCGGGCGCAAAAATATCCTCAGATGCATCTGCCCAGGAAGCGACAGGTTCGGTCGCAACTTCCACAGATTGGGGAACAGGCTGCTCAACCCTCTCTGCGTCCGTCGCTTCCTCTCCCTCGCCCGCTGGTGCTTCGGTCGCGAGTAACTCAGCGACCTCCTCAGACGTATCTGTGGGCATGCAAAAAGTGACAGCGAAAGATGAATGCGATGTTAGGGCCTAAGCAAGTTCCAAAGAATTAGGTTCCCTAACACAAAGCCTTACGGCTGATAACCAGTCAAACAGGGGAAAGAACCGGAGACCCCAAAAGAAACGGGAACCCAATTCCCCAGACCCTGCATGAAACACAACCAAATGCTCCCTTTTGCACGGAGCACTTGAGCCATGCCGCAAGCAGCGGAAGTTTCACCCCGACCCGGTGGTTGTTGGGTTAGGGGAATCCCTACTATAAACATGGCTACCCTACCTACCTAACGCGTCTAAGCAGGTGGTGCTATTTCTGTACATATTGGGATGTATCTACTTGGAACTACGTTGGTACTCATAGCTACGGCATGCCTACATACGACCTACTACCTATGCTATACATAGTGGGGCTCAGGGGTCGGTATATTTCAACTATAGTATAATATATATACTGTATATATATTATATATTATTATATTATGAATTATTCTGCTGGTGTGATATAGTCCTTTTCCATTATGGACCATGTATTTGTTTTTCCGCATGTTGTACGTCTCTGTCCAGATTTAAACACGTGTCTCTTCTTTCATCCTGATAAAATGCGTGAGCTGAACATGAGATTGAGGGAATTCACAGATGGGACGTGAGCGAGAAAGGCCCAAATTAAGGTTCCCACACACACCAAGACCTTCTTCTCCTTCTGCCGTCGAATGAAATGATCAATACCTCAGAGCACAGATTTGGGACACTCAATTCCAAGTCCATTCATGGCTACTCTTCGAATCTTACAGTTGGTACCCTGCAAGAAACGCTTGAGGTGTTTTGTCTTAATGTGATGCCCCACCATTTGTTGCAACACAACCAAGAAACACCAAGGCTTACCATCATGATCCCATGGCCGGGTGGCTCATCACGGCAATCAAGGTCTTCCCCAGCCCCGTGTCCATGTTCACGATGGTGTTTTGCTCACAAACTTGCCTGTGGAAAGGCAGAAGCTTCCAGAGAAGGTTCTTCACAAAAAACAATGCTTGGAGGTAGAGAAAAAAAGGCGTCAAGCTACAACAAACATGCTCTGATCTTTTGGCATGGCAAAAGAAGGGCTCTCAAAACGAATGAAACCACGCATAAGTTTTTCCAAGAAAGAGGCTGACATTCGCTTCTGAAATCTCCCATGATCATTTCATCACGGAAATCCACCGGTGATTCAAGTGACCCGCGCCTGAAGGCTTCCCATTGATATTTTCGGGGACTTGGTGTTCCTGTCCAGCTGGGTTCCTGCATGGAGTTTTCTTGCAGTCGCTGCCGAGGTCCTATCCAAAATGACAAGAAAACTCATCTTAGCAAAAATATCAGAAAATTTCCTTCCAGGAATCTATTTTGAATCTATTTGCTGCTTGCAAATTTTGCATGACTCTATGGCCTTTCTGATATGAGCGTGTTCAAAAACCAGGGCCACAAGCAGGATGGTTTCCCTACCAACAAGGACTGCTACCATCAAGTACATGTTGTGTATCCCCCATGTTTGGGCCATGGGCCATACCTGTCTTGCAATCTGGTGTCTCCAATCATGGCAAGTCATTGGGCCGAAAAATTTGAGCGACACTCAAACGACTATAGCCGCCTTCCCATCGAGGGTCGGTTGATAAGCTCCAACGAATTAGGTATGTAAATAACACTGGTTAATAACTCTGTTAACAACTACTCAACATTCGTCGATTGAGGTTAACAATAGTCATGGTTCTAATGTTATAACTATAGCTAATGTTGTCATTACATATATTATATACTATCATCTTCAATTCAAGAAAACAACCAACAACCATTCATCAACCTAAGAATCATAACTGCATCATCAACATAGCCGTAAAAAACACCCAGAAGTCTTCCATGTCCCCCGACTTGGTCGAAGCCTTGTCGATCTCCTCCTCGATGATTGACAAGCCGGGAGGGGGTTCAACCACTTCGGACACAGACTGCCTGCAGGGCTCAGAGCAAGTTTGCGAACTGGAAAATCACCATGAAAAAATAAGTAGAACATCGAAGTAAATGGACCATTTTCCATAGCAAACTGTTGAATTACTAGAGGGTAAGCATGATGGAAAGTACCAACTCTCGGAATCACTGAAACCACTGCAGTCACCATGCTTTTTGGTGTATTCCTTGCTTTGGTCGGCTTCAAGTCATTGTTTCGTTTTGGGCAAAGAAAACGGCAGGCAGAACGCCAGACCAAATTTGGGCCCACGCACACAAACCCTGCGCAGAAGCGTGCGCCGGCGTGCGCCTGGTAAAGCTCTTCACACTTTGATCTAACCGCACGAAGTCTGCCTGACGTTGGAAGCCGTCCGCAACTTGCGCCAAGGGATGCCAACAGGTAAGCTATGTCAGGGATCCCAAAACGGCTAAGCAAAGAAATCATCGAAATGATGCGAAATGACGTGTGTCCATAGAATATTATGTATATATATATATATATGAGCAATCTCCAAAACCCTAGGTTCACGGAAAGGACATCCACAAATTTGGGAAGGTCCCATCGCTTACCACACGTTTGTACAATAATGATATATGGTAAACTTGGGGGGTATCGCTTGCAGAAATCAACGTCCAATTTGGGTATCGCTAATGTGGATATTAGAGAAATACAATGACATAACCTTGAAAAGGGGTATCGCTAATTTGGGAAGGTCCCATCGCTTACCGTGGGGTTTTACTAATTTCCATCAATTTCCATAAACCAATGTCCGTCCAATACATATTTAGTATTGCCGGGGTTTTTGCGGTGGCTCATATATATATATATATATATATACACATTCCGTTGAGGACCCCTATATGCAGATTGAAAAAGAATTGGGATCACACTTGGAGGATCATCCCATTTACGAATCACAAGAACTGACCGGGAAGGTTCTTAGGATCCCACCTGATTGATCGTTTCAACCGCGCTCCCGGGAAATATGAAAATCATTGGGGATCCTTATCCCAAATTTATGTGATTTCATTATCCCAATGTATATAATGAAAAGGTTTGAAATACTATTATTTATATATATATAGAGATTAACTATGTATATATATAATATATATAATATAATATAGTATATATATATACACACACATGCTGCCCAACCCTTCGAAGGATGGCTACCACGGCCTGATCTAACTCATGGTTTGGTCTGCAGATTGGGCAGCGCCGTTGCTCGGCACAGCCTTGGAGACTCGGAGGACTCGGAGCGTCGTCGGGTTTCCACCAGATCTATGGAGATTCAATGCTGACATGGGTAATGGTTAAAGGATATACCCCACGTGTCACATCTGACATAGAAACTATAGAGGAGCCGAAGCCCCTGGACGTCTCATGACGTTTCCTGGTTCCCGTTTCTTTTGCATATGTATATAAGTATCTATATATATATATATGTACTCCAAAATCCATGCCCCAGCCTTCACAAGTCCAAACGATGTCCAGAATAATGCTTTGCGGATGGGGAGGATCGCAATTGCTCAGTGCCTGATTCCTGGAGTTTCCCATGTATAACTGGGTGAAACAACCGTTATAACCCCAGTTCTAGAAGTCAAGCCTCAAACGAAGCGGCTTTTTGATTGAGTTGAGTCCTTCCCATTGCAGCAGAAGGCACTCAACTGCCACTTTTACCTACCAACCACAGCTGAACATAGCTGAACGGTAGATCCAAGCTACTCTCGCAGAAGGCAATGTATCCCTTTTTCGCTGCCCTGGCGTCGGTGGTTTGCATCCAAATAATCGACCATAAAGATCCATATAGAGCAGGTCATTGGAAAAGTGTTGGTATACCCAAGAGTCACCAACCACAAACACCTTTTTCGGATGGCATTGGCTTTACCACATCAATCTCATGTTTAATCATACCCAATCATACCCAATCTACATCCATTAATGGGGTATAATTACCAACGTATATCATGGGTGTAATGGATATGAATGGTATATCACAAATGGTTGTTAATTAATTAACATCATTTGACATACCAAGAAAATTCATGAGAAAAAACACTACAGCATACCAACCACATCCATTGGTCCAATATCCAGTCCATACTCACCATGGCTGCCATTGGGACGCCATTGGTGAACAACGCAGCGGCCTTTTGCACAATCCTTTGCAAACGGCTTGTGCCTCAGCACAGTTCACTGGGTGGTTGGGTGAAGAATCAACAAACATTGTGATTTTGTGTTGGGATTTAATGTTGGATCTAATGGGGAACTTCCCTTCGGCAAACATGACGAGCCAGGTTCGATTACCAGAGGGTACGCGGTATACTGTGGGTATACGGTATAGTCCATTTATCATTGGGTTGCTTTGCATGAATTTGTAGGGTAACCATGTTTATTAACCAGCAGATACTGCTGTCTGAAACCAAGTCTGGAAACCACATGCCCCAAAACAGCATTTGATCGGCATGGAATTCAAAGACTAAGCTGGAGCTCTTCCTTCCTCTAGCATCCCCTTCAAGAGGACCCTAAAATTGGCATTCGCAACAAAACCCCCCCCTGTTTTTTTGTGCGAAATTGGTGGATCCTTCATGTCGTAGCATCTTTTTGGCCCCTGACCTGTCTCATTTGCATTCACTCTGGTGTCACCTCTGAGTCCCCAGGCGTTGCAATTGAAGCATCTCTGAACTTCAGGTAGAGAAGTCTCTGTCTCCGTGTCAGCCATGGCGCTAGCGTCGACACCCGTTGGTGCTACGGAAAAGCAACCCCAAAAATCTTGGACGACTTGGGACTCAAGGGATGCTACATGGGTCAATATCCGATACCCCAAAAACTACAAGTTGAATAAGGAAAATCACAATCCATTGGATTTGAGATTTTTTGAATGTCCCAAATGCACTTCACGGGGCAAACACTTCACCCTTCACCAAGGGGCGCCTAAAATCGACTCAACTGCTTTCACTTCAACAAGGCACACCTCCCAGGTTCCTGGGAGGTGTGCCTCGCGAAGATTTGCTCCAGAATCCTGCGACGTTTTCCCTTGAAATTCTCCGGATGGAATTCTATGTTTTTTTACTGCGGAGATCTTCTCTCTACAATTTCGCAAAACATGTAATGGGGTAAACCCAATAAATAAACCTCCAATTACTGGGGATGATTTATTGTTTGGTTTACCAAATGGGGTCATCTTCCACTTGGCCACTGGCTCTTGCTCCATGCGTTGGCGATCACTGCTTGTGCCTCGAACATCCAATGAGTTTTCGATGATCCGAAAAAGAAAACAACTATGGAACTGGATGGATATGGGCATCGGTCAAAACCATTCAAAACCCTGGTACCCTGCTTTTCTTACTAATTTCTAGCTTATGGAAGGTCATCCCCCATCTCAATGGTACTGATCCATCTCCAGCCAAAATCCATCAAGAGTGGAATCCGCCCCCATCTTCAGATCCAAATGCAGAAATCCAATGTGTGTTCACATGGTTCCCCGTGAAATCCCGATTTTTTCATGCTAGAACCACCACTATTATCTGGATATCCCCACCCAACCAGCCAAGCGCTTCACCCAGCTTCGGCCAAGCGTTCGGCCTCCGGTTGCCGGTAGAGCGCATGCAGTGCCCCTGGGAGCCTTGGCGACTCCGTGCTCTTGTCTCGGGGCCTTAGGTCTCGGTTGGCTGATTTGGATCGACGTCAGGGGAATGCTCAAAAACGCATCTGCTACAGAAAAAGTTAGATTCTTCTGGCTGGAAATCTAGAAACTTTGGGATTTTTAGGAAAATGACTAGGTTCTTTGGGGGAGAAATTGTGTGTTTTTATTGCAGGAATCTGGAAACCCTAGAAATGATTGGTTGGAAAGCTTGAAAAACTTCCAAAATTTGGTGGTACGACCAGTGCTTGTTTCATATCTTGAGGTCATGTGTTCAAAGTGTTTACCCTTCCTATCTAAAGAAGTGTGCTTTCTACCAGTTCTATCTCTGTGCGTTTTTGTATGTTTTTGTGCTTCATGTTGAAAAATCTGGCACATCAAAATGGTCATATCGTATCAAAATATCAAAATCCTTATGATTTTCCCCTCTAAAACGGTCACAAATTGGGTCTCTTCGATCCGGGCGAGAGGTACTTGAAGCGGGTCCCTCGTGGTGGCTCTTCGAAGAAACTGGTCCGATGGGATCCGACAACTACGGACAGCTCATCCGCCGGCAACGCCACCTATGAATCTATGAAAAAATGATATTGATTCTGTATACATTGATTATAAATATACATATATATATACATATATGTATAATAATATATCATTATATATCATTGTATATCCGAGTTATATCTGCATGACATTCCCATGATATTCTAATTAACTGAGAAAAAAAACTGAGGTGTTCAGGAGAACCGGATGAGAATGTTCGTGACATGGGATCAGAATCTCAACTCTTGCGTAGATTTTGCAGGGCTTGTCTGACATTTTAGGGGAAAACATATGGTTGACCGAATCAAAATCTTCGCGTGGGGACATATCTTCAAGAGTTTGATACATTCTTCGTAGGACATGTCCCGCCTCGCGAAACGACCACCCAAAGTCTGATTGCACCTCAGACCCATGCCCAACCCACTGCCAGATATTGCCTTGGTGTAATACAAAATAGGAGTCCATGAACCATGAACAGTAACAATAATTAAATTAATTAATAGTATAGATACCCTCCAAAAAAAAAAGACGTTTGAGCCAGGCATTCCAGTCCATTTCATCGTTACAAAGATCCTCTGGGCTCCATACGGTTGATCAAGCTTTCTCAAGTAGAACCTCTGCCAGATTCGGCTCTGAAAATCGAGTACAGAAAATCCCAAAATCCCTGTGGATCCCATGAAAATTGGGGTAAATTCGGGTGAATACCGCGACCAGTCCATGTGGCGGCTGATTTTGGGCTGATTTTGCGCGCAGGGACCTCAAAGTACCCTGACAATCCAGAGATATTCCAAGAAACTCTTCCAGCACAGTCGTAGTGCCCAGACTGGAGAAGGAATGGAATCTGTGAAACGTACATTAGCTTCGTGTGACTATCCAGCTGTCAATGCCTTGTGAATCGGCCAGTTTCCTGGAAGGACCAACCGAAGGTGCCGAGGCGGAGACTGCCAAGATTTGTTTGGCAGTTTTGTGGGAAATCAGAATCTTAATATATCTTAATAGCATCAAGAATCTTAGTACAACTATGGTACAGTATTAATCATACTTTTGGTTGTTCACGGATTCTTGGGATTCAGAACTTGAAACTGTGGTTCACCAATTCAAGTCCGAAAAATCGTGGTGAATCATCATTGTCGCAATAAAGAATCTGTTGTTCAGTGTTTCTTGCACCAAATCTTCATCCCACGTATCAAAAGAGACATTCTATTTGAAAGTTTTGCCAAAATCACTTCAACCCGTAGTCTAGAGTGATAACAACATCAGGTTTTGGAAGAAATCCTCTAACTCCAAGCCTGTGTTTGCTGGTTTGTAACCTGTGCGCTGAGTGTCCGGTGAGAATTTTTATCTAATCAGGTTTGACATGGTTTGACTTCCAAATTTTCAGAAACACGGAAAAGTAATGTAATTTTCATGTTTTTCAAAAAACTGGATGTGTTTTCAACCCGTTCAGTTTTTGACAACTGCAACTTGGCTATCCGTAAACTGAAAAACGACACCTTTGATTTGGGCCCAGACTGTCGGCCACCAGCCAAGGAAATAGGAACTTCAAATTTTGTGGAAAAGGTTTCCGCGACCCGCTGAGTGTATCCCCTTAATTTCTTTGTGTTTTTTGAAGTGTGGCTCTTGAAACCAAGATGTCATTAGGAAATGATTGTTTGCAAATAAGAAATGCTTATTTTAACCAAAACTTGAAAAACAGAAAAAACAAGGTGAATTCAAACTCGAAGATTTGCCGAAATCATCTCAATGCCGTTAGTACATGAGAGTGGCCATCACTTCAGGATATACCCCAGGTTTGTACAAATCATTACAAATCCACATGTCAAACAGAGTCTGTTCCCATGCTTGTGGATCCGTTTTTGAAGGGATTGTCGAGCCGATGGCTGGGCAACCCCATCTGTTTCAACTTCAAATCTCGATGGTTGAAGACATTCTCCGAAATCACCTTCATTCCCATCTAATGTGGATAAAACAATGTCATAAACCACCCATGACTGGGAATGGTAACCATACCAACTATAAAAATTGCGCCGGCTGGGGGGGTGGTTTATGGCATTGTTTTACCATGTTTTACCCACATTGTTCCAGATGCCGAAAATGCTACGACTGTGGATCCTGTGGTCACGTCCCATGGTGTTGTCTTCACAAAAAGCAGCTCACAGCCGCCTCAGCCCTGCCAGAAAAACAAGGCTTCACGTAGCAAAGTTCCAGCCGGCAACCAGAAGCTCGTCGTGCCCCCAGCGCTACAGCTATGATCAGCCGTGAAAGTCCTTGAAAATGGCTATACTTTGAGCACGTCAATGCAAACATTTGGTGGTATCATTCATGTTTCCCGGATTCGTGTTTGTTCGTGTCTGTTTATCCTTAGATCGAAATTGATTTTCAGAAATTGTCCGAAGGGATCCAAAGGAACACCGTTTCGGCAATGCGTTGTTTTCATTGGCTTTGGGAGTTGATGATTTTGACCTAAAGCTTTTAGCTGGGAGATTTTAGCATGAAAGCGACTTCGGGAGATCTTGCCCAATCTAGCCCTTTCAATTGGACTTTAAAACGCGCTGAGGATGTTTTTTTCAAAGAAACCTGCACGAATCCAGCATCCCACGCAGAGCCACACCAGAGACTTCATCAACTGAATCCAAATCAATAGATATCAATGGTATCATATGGTATCATATGGTATCATATGGTATCATATGGTATCATATGGTATCATATGGTATCTTGGTGTTCAAATCAAAGTCATTAGTTACCATTAGTTCTTCTTTATGGAGGTTCCTTTCCAAGAAATGGTATCAGGTTTGACCATATTTGTCTCACATGCTTGTCTCTCACATGCCCAAGTGAAACACTCTGGCGCAATGTCCACTGGGGATACTGTCATGCATATCCAGGTGGTGCCATATCACACCCTGTGAATTTATGCAAACGTGTCCTTGGCTTTGCGCACGCCCGAAGAGAGATGCAGCTGTGAACATCAATTTAGCTGCCAAATGGATTCATATCTTTGGATCCATGTGTTGTTGGAAATGGCAAAGGTCTGGTTGGTATTATGTTGGCATTCTTTTCGCCATCAACGGAATGTCCCAGAATAGTCATGACAAAAAAATCGGCGAGTGTCCGTTGGCGAATTCTTTCCAATGGAAAAGTGGGAAGGTCGAGCGACTTCTGGGCTGCGGAGCAGGACGAGGACGGCAAGTGATCTCAGTCAGTCCGGTCACAGCTTTCTTTAGCCGAGACTTCTTCAAGGCTAGGCGTGGCTGGGCGAACCATGTTGGGGTTGCCCCAAAAAGATCGGCACTGCTCCCTGATGGCCACGTGTAGTGCCACATACGTTTCCACAGTTTCGATGATTCCAAGTACTTCCAGTGCCACATCAGGCCATCTCGTGACTTAAATGTTCATATAATAATATAATTCTCATTCTCCAACCACATGTTTGGTACAGAAACCACTTTGCGGATCAAGAATCCTCATTCCAACATCCTCAAATATCTTGATCATCCGATCATCCACTGAAAAACTCATGATTTCCAGGTCTTTTTCCAACCGAAATCAGGAAAATCCCAACTTTCCATCACCGGAGCAGCTCCGTGGCGCCGTTCCGCCGTGGTGGCGGTCGAAATCGCGGTCAGCGGGCGGCCTCGCTTGTCGTGGCCTAGGCTTGGGCGTTGCGGCGCTCCTCCTCGTCCGCGACCTTCTTGGCGGAGGCCGTCTCGGGAGGCTGCGACCTCAAGATGTTTGAATCATTTTGAATCTGGAACATGGAAATCCTGGAAATCGTGTTTCCAATTTGTTCTCAGATGGAAACAAAACTCAGAATCTTCACCGTTTGAGTTGTGTTCTTCTTATCATTGAACGGTAGTGACTAAGAAATAACTTTGCAAGGTTGGGAGGGGTCATCATTAGGTTTTCCAGACTATCGATGGATTTCGGCCTGAATCCCTTGAGATCTTGGGTGCAAAAAATAATAGGTGGCAATCTGTGGCAATCTGTGCATCTTTGGGGCGTCAAAAGTTGACTCCTACCCAGCAGGGTGCTGGTTCACGAGTGTGAGATTACTCAGCCATGCATGCCTACAGCCTCAAACTATGTCAAAGCTGGCTTCTAAAGTCGTCGTCGTCGTCGTCGTCGTCGTCGTCGTCGTCTTCGTCGTCATCATCATCACCACCATCACTGGTCACATATCCTATTCCATCCCAGTACATCCTGTTTACCCGGTAAACTAAGAGTTTGCTATAGAAAATTGCCATAGAAAGTTCGTTGATTTACCCATCAAAAATGGTGATCTTCCATAGTTATGGCCATGGCCACCCTGGCCACCACTGACTTGGCCAGGTCTGAGTGAGCCAAGCAGCTTGTCCAGCCATGGCTCCAGTTGTGAGGGAACGAAGCCATCTGGACCCATCTCAGCGATGTTGAGCTCCTACGAAAAGTGGAGCTGAGAAATGCAGCTGAGAAATGGGCTGTAAATATGGATCCAAATTATTCATCCACAGTCGACTGTGGGATCTAACTACATGGAAAACTAGGGGTCTAGCAGCTTCGGGAAAACACAAGAACTAAGAGGTGAGTAAGGAGACTTGAGACTTCCATACCAATTACCTGGCATGTGATTTTGCTTTGCAGCATTGTAGTTTCTTAAGTCATGGTGGGCCCCCAAATTGTCCAAGCTATTTGTCATGTTTAATCGTACTTGGGGGTAAAGTTAGGGGCTCTTCTTGGAGATAACTAAGGCAATTACCTCCAAAAGTTGGGATATAATTAATTTCAAAAAAGCATTGCTTAAATATCCACTTAGTTCATTGGAACTTCAATCCCGTGAACATAGTGAACATAGTGAACTAACTAAGCGGATATTCCAAAACCTCGTTGTTGTTTTTGGAGATATACCATGAAAATCCACCCCACCTGCACCACCGGAATTTAAAACCGCTCTCCTCGCAGCAGAGGAAGCATTGCAGGGTAGTGTCCACGGCCAGCTCAAAAATACTGGTGAAGAGACGAGCCACGATGTAACCTGCCGCTGATTTCAACCCCGGGGATATGTCATTTACCATGAAAAATGGATAAAACTGCTGGTTATACCCTGAAAAATGATGTTGTTGACCAGGAATCGCTTGATGGGGGTGGAATGGTGATATTTCGGGATGAAAACCACCCAAAAATGGGGATTAAACTCACTATTCAAGGGGATATTAGATGGGGATATAAAAACAACTAGATGATATTTGGTGTGGACTGGCGATTTACACCAATTTATAGCAATTTCAATGGGGAAGAGACTGACTCTGGTAATCTAACATTGCCATGAAGAAATTGAAAATTAACCAGCAAAAAAAAATATTCGTAGATTCTTTTCCCATTAAATAGGGAGTTCCATGCTTCATAGTTCTTCAATTGAAAGGTGTGACTACCAAAGGGCCAACAAGTGTCACGGTTTCAGACTTATCACTGAGGCAGCAACCAAGCATCAAGTAGATGAGGATCGGAATGGCTGGGGCCATGTTGGGATGCAGTCCCTGTCACAGCGTCACAGCTGGGAAAATGCCATAGATACCATGTTGAGTTTCCTGTTGAAAATGGCATAGATATGGTTGATCTATGTTGATCTTGAATATCACAAAAAGTGGATTTGCTCAAACTCTTTTCTAATCCCCTCACCATCTGATGTCTGCTCCAGGCCGGTTTGTCTGAAAAGATGGGACCTCCAAACCTCCATTTAAGGGGTCAGTTTCTCAGTGTCATTGGAAACGAGCCAAAGAGACAGATAGGATGAAGTAGCCGAGGATACCAGTTCCGGCCACCTCAGTGTCGCGTTGGAATTATTCTGACAGATCGCAGCTTGGGGTTGTCCAAAAATGGCAGGGTTGTTACCACATTTTATAAGGAAAAAGTTGGTAAACCAATGTAAACTATATGGGATTTGTGTGTTCCCTATTTCAAACAAACCCACCTAGCGTTTTGGCTCGAACTGAGTATCAAAGATGTCAATCGCCAAGCTGGTGCCCTCCAAAGCATGGCAATGGAAAATCCATTTGATATGGGTGTCCCATGATTTTCTCGTGCAAAAGTATAGAAAAGTATATCTAAATCATCCTTAAAGACGATTTTCCTCTTCCGCGGAAAAACACCACGCCATCCGCCAAGGCACAATGAACATGATGCCAATGACATGGATCACACCTGGGCCATGAAGATATGTATCGAATCAAAGGAATGGTTGAAATTTTGACCTTCCCCTTAATATTAAATAAACCTTGCAAACCCTGGTTGCATATTGGATCCATTCATGAATTGGGGTCCCGTATCAAATCTTAGGAAGACGGGTTTAATCCGCCCATCTTCAATTTAAAAATATGTTCAGGTATGATATTTCAAATTCAAAGGTTTGAACCTTGCTATTGAGAGTTATTGAAGGTGGTCCAATGTTGTTTTCAAAAGAACAGGATAGGTGCAAATATGCCCCCGAAACAAAGGCATCTCAAACCGCATCAAAGAAACGCGGTTCCACGCCCTCTTTGGTGCCACCACCCTGGTTCCCAATGACTAGAGTCATAATATGTCATAATGCAGTTTTAAACCAGTCATAATACATTTTTTTATGGGAAAATCCACTATAACTGGCCATGTTAATGGGAAAATCACCATTTTGTAATGGTAAAATCACTATAAATATGGGCCAAAAACATGTTTCAACCAAACAACCTATACGTTTTCCATCTGGTTCGTTCTGGATGAATGATGTCATGCAACTCAATCGACTGAAAGCCAAGATTCTTCCGAGGATTGCAATGGTACCGAAGCGGAGGGCATTCCTGGCACGACCACCATCAAAGTCGCACGAATCGGTTTCAGCCTGTGCCATACGGCCAAGGAATTTTCTTCTACTTAAATTCATAGTGAATTGACCTGGGAATGAGTACCTGGAAACTGTTGGAATCGCTGAAACCCTCCTTGGATCTGCTTCCAACTGACCCCCAAGCCAGCCTCAAGATCAAGAAGAAGGCTTTCTTCGCTGATGTGCAGAAAGGTGTGCCGTACAGCGCAATCCTCAACTGAGGGGTTCTTCCATGACAAACACCCGCTTCAACTTGGGCATCCAATCAATATTCGGGAATTTTACTATCAGGGGTACTTGCTAGACTACTTTGTTATTGGGCTCAAGAAAATTATGTTAAACTGTAAACCATGAGTGGTTTGGGTTTGATGTGGGCATCAATGAGCAGAGGTCGAATGCTTTACAAAAGTTAGATGGCAATCCCACAAACAAAGTTGGTCACTGTCGGTCCCAAGTGCTGGAGCCCTTGTGACAGCCCAATGTTGGCCAAGGAGCTGGATGTACGCATTCTTGTTCAGGAATTTCACCTCGCGGTTGAACAAAGCTTCTGATCATGAGAGGCCGAAGAAAGTGGGAGTCAATCCCTCACGTTACAGCTACGACTGCAAAATTGAAAGAAACTACTTGAAGCTACTTGACTGTAATTGGATCAGACTTGGGTCCAAAAAATGGATCATTCGATCATTCAGTGATTCATGGGCGAAAAAAGTCTCAGCTGCCAACGCACTTCTCAAAGCACCAAATGAAGCACTGCAAGACCTTCAGGATGCAGACCTGATTTCACCGGGCGCTGACCGGGCGGCACAAAAGACATTGCACCAGCACGTCTGTCGATGTCTGTCCCTCCCAGCCCTGGGCTTCCGGGCCAGGATTCGGTTCTTCTGGGCCTTTGCTTGTTTCTCGTAATATTTCAACAAATACCTGCATGCACGGGCTCAATGATCAGAGTCAATCAAAATACATATCAATATGCCAATATACCGACACATTCAGACAAATCCCCCATGATTTCGTTTCTTTCCACTTGTGAGTTCTACCTTCGTCCATTGCGAACGGACGCAAGATCAAGCAAAATCGCCGGCCTGATGAGCTGAATGACCTCAGGCGATGTGGGTCAACTACTCAGCATACTGAGCTTGTTGGGTGCCAAAGAAAGCTCCGTCGGTGGTGAAACCGTCATCCCAACAAGTGAAAAATATTCAGAGATTCCAGACCACCAACCGAGAAAAACCCTGAAGCCTCCAAATGGTTAAAACATGTTAAAACTCTACAAATTGTAATCAAAGATGGTTTAACAGGTTTTCATCATCTTTAATACAAATAGGCTTTTACTCTTACCATCCAGTAATCAAAGATGGCAATTGAAAATCTGCCAAGCTACCGCGATAATGAATGCTCCAAAGGCGGCGGAGCCCAAGTGGTAGCGGAAGGCGTTGTAGACGCTGGTCATGAAGGCTTCTCGGCAACGGGAAAGGGAACGATTGAAGGCAATGTTTACTAAGATGAGGCAGCTACCTGGTGTTGAGATATACACGATATTACAAGACTATGTATATCTATATATAATCTATATACTCTATGTATATACTGTATATCATATATATATATACTTACATGTTAGTGTCTATACATATGCAATCTATATCTATATCTATATATATATATCGTGAGATCCAATCCCAGCTAAGTAGCGAAGCCAACAGAAGGCACAGAGGAAAGCACATTCACCAAGGATCTGTGTATAGCCTATGTACATATTCATATTAGACAAACATATTTGGTATTAAATAGAACATAATAGGAGATACCACCAGGTACCATGTTGATATAGATATACTCATTGTATAGAAATCATTGTGCTTGTATCAAGCTCATCTACTATGATTTCGACATGAGCACCCAGTAAGTTCTCAGCATTTCTGTGAGATTCACCAGTCGCTGCTGCGGTTTCTCGCATCTTTTTCTTGACTGACCCAGAATCCAACTGTCAGCTAAACCACCCGCTCAACCCCTTGTTGATCTTGTGAGTGGATTGGCCTGGCAAATTCGTGACTGATTTGGCTGAAATTATTTGGCCACATGGAATATGGAAAGAAAGAGGTTGACCACTGACCATAACTTAATATATAATGGATTGATAAAGGGCGGGCTGTGCGAGTTCCAAAACTGAAGACACGACTTCAAGACAACGCAGGGTTTTAATGTGTTCAAGTCATGTTCAAACTTACCCGTGTTTCGTCAGTGTCTCCAATGCGAGTGCTGTGTCAATGTTGACTTGTAATTGTAAATGTTCAAAGGCAACCGGAAACCATTTTTCCACAACGCGCCACGCTGTACCGGCGTTTCGGCTGATTTACAAAGCTGAAAAGTCGAAAGTCCAAAGCGAATTCACTGAGCTGTCTTTGAGTTGATGTGCGCTGGCTGTTCCACGCTCACTGACTGAATGCACATCACGGGCGCATCACGTCATCACAACCATCACGGGATTGGGGGTAACCCATATGCTCTCCCAGGATTTGATTTCCCGAGCAATCTCTTGGTTGGGGCTGCTTTGGAAACTGAAAGATGCTCGAGCTTGCGCTTGTGCTCCTCTCGAATAGCAGACCTGGCCAAGACAAGACATGACATAATGACATACCAAAACGCATTCAGTCGCCGACTCAGTAGTTGCCGGTCGCCACGCCCAAAAAAAATCAGGCATCACTAACTACTAGTAGCTAATACGTGAATAACCTTTCTGGTTTTGTTGTGTCTCTGACCGTGATTGACTTCCCACCCACCGCAAGGTATGTTGCTAAAGGCAACTAGAACATTGTTGGGAGAACTGACTGCACTGGACCGACTGGACCGAATGAACAATCCGAACCAGATAGGAACCACCAATGTACGTGAGGAGAGGAGAAGAGAAGAGAGAAACTCATTTACCAGCCTGCTAACACGCAACAATACAAACAAGTGCAACAACTGGCCACAACACGCAACTCAAGAAAATAAATGGAATGAAATCGGGCCAGAGTTGTTGTTGCAAAGCTACAAGCTCACCATCCAGTGACCGACAAAGCCATCCAGCCTGGCCTGACCAGCCGAATGTTCTTGAACAAGTCGGGAATTCTGGGATGAAGAACTTCCGACAAGGAGTGCAGCTGCAGCAAGCCCATCACGCCGCAGTGCATCGAATTGCCCACCTGAGGACCAATGTGCCTTCCTGAGCGGCCCTGTCTGTCAAAATGGAAGGAAGTCAACTTCAAGTCAGGTGAATGCAAATAGGGCACCACTGGGAAGTGTTGGCAAGCTAATGCCTCTGTTGGGGACAACCACCTGCCAACGTGATCACTCCACACTAAACCCAAGTTGTGGATCAGGGTGAACATCTCAAACTCGTTTTTGGAATGATGACCATGGCCGCTGCCAGGATCTTGGTTTAACTGGTATGCTGCTTCCGGCCATCCCCGGCGGTATTCCTGGAGAAAGTTGAATTCCATGGTGTTGAGGGCGGCTTCAAAGTCCATTGTATCACCTGCCAATTCATCTCCAAGCTCTTTAGCTCGGCTGGTTGGTCTCTGGCACGCCCACTGGTACTCCATCTCCAGCTCGTTCTCCACAACACCTTTGCCCTTCATCTCTGGCAAGTGCATGAAGAATATGCCTTGGCCAGTTCATTGACGAATTGAAGAGGGTTTCAAAGACAGGCAGTGATGTGATCAGTCATCAGTTCAGTAACCCATGACCAGTGCACATGGACACCACCACCACCATCATCATCACAATCATCATCATCATCATCATCACCATCATCATCATCATCATCCTCATCGCTATTTTCATCATTCGTCAATCACCAATAATGACTACACCTCTGTTACAGTGACAGCAGTGGCAAACATCAACAATATACACCTGTCATTAAATGTGCATGATATATATATATATACACATATCTATATAGGTATATATATATAAACCCAACAACTCACAAGTATTTAAATATGTAGAGATCCAGAAATTCCAGAAAAAAAATATATATATATATATGTGATATATGTAAATCTGATTATCTGATTGAAGCAGTGAAGTAAAACAGTCCGAAACTAAGCAAGCAGTACCAAAGAAAGCGTGGTTAGAATGGCAGTTCCAGGACCAACCAAATCAACAATTTCACGGCTCATATGCCTGCAAGCCACTTTTCCAACTCCACTGACACATCCTGAAAAATCGCTTGCAGAATCGTGAAAGTGGGCTGATCACTGCTGCTGCCTTCTTCTTGTGGACCATCTTGATGAACTCCCTTTCCCGATTAAACGGGTCGCCAACCATGTATGGAGAGAGCACCACTTTCTCCATATGGTAGAGGGGCCCAAGTAGCCTGAGCAGAAGGCTGCCTAATCCACAGTCCATAACCTCGGCAGGCTCGTCAGAAGTCACAGCGGCGGTTGATGATGAAGATCCAGAGCCAGGTGTGAGTACATTCTCGCTTGTTATCTCAGTGTTTTCAAGAAGAAGCATCAGCCCCACCCATGCCAGTGTGAACAGCACTTCGGGGTCATGAGCTCCAAGCCCTGCCCCCTTTTTGCTCCAGGGACGGCAACTTGTCCCAGCAAGGTGCCGGCGACATGGAACAACCTTGCACTCTTTCTCATGGACAACACACCACGCTGTCCCCTTCATAGCCTTCTTCTCGGCCAAGAGGGGGCTGAGTACTTCAATTGCCATTTGGGGATGCTGGATCAAATAGTCAATCGTCTCCTTCAAATCCTCCACAAAGAAGGAAGCGATGTTGTTGAACAAGCATGTGTTGTGGGCTTTGCACTCGGGCAGTAGCTCGGCAACGCATTCACGATTCCATTCTATCTGGAATGTGACTGCCAAGGGCTCAAAGGGAATTCCAAGTCTCTTGCAAAATGCAGCTCGCATCATGTTCATTGAAGTTCCACAGGCCTCTATGCCGCTGAACGCGGTGCTGACCGAATCATTTCTCATAGCTTCAAGTATGTCAACCACCTTGTCTTCCCCATCCTCAGCAAGGATAATGTCACAACAATCTTCCTCGAAGAGAAAGGATTCAGCCATGGACGTCACAACCTGACGATTCCGGCCAGGGTTGACTTTGAAGGAATCTGGCAAAGTACTTGGTAGCTCTGGATGTGGAAGAACTTCAGAGGCAGAACCAACCTGTGGCACTGCATCAGGAACGCTGGCATCAGCAGCATGCTGGCCCTCTTCCCCCACTGTAGTCTTCTGTTTTTTTGGGCATGGCATCGATTCCTGAGGAACAGCGTCTGGATCCTTCAGGGTCTCGTCCAACATAGTTTGCAGAACCTCTGGAACTGCCTGTTGGTCTGATGCCTGCGCTAATGTCCCCATTGCTGCTGGAATTGTCGGTGCTTCAGCTGTTTCAACTGGTTCACTTTGTTCAACTGCCGCTGCCGCTTCTGCGAAATCTGGATACTCACTGTTGATCTCCGCCTCCAAAGCGGCTGTGAAACTTGTCTCGCTCTTCTGAGAGAGGGGAACCTCCTGCATGTCAGCATCCTCAGCTACTTCACTTTTGGCCGTTGTGGCCGGTTTGTCAGCATCATCACCAGGAGGAATTGGAGGAGGGTGAACAACAATCTGCGGAATGGATGGACCTGATCGCTTTGCCAGCTCCACCGTCTCCGCTTGAGAACAAAGCAAGGTTTTCAAATCTCCATCGAGTTTCAGCCAGACCCATCGAGGGCCAAATTGGTCCTGTGACAGTGACAAGCAATGCTAATGGTAATTGATTGCAAAGATGCATGGCAAACCAGCGGTTGATTCGATTGAACGGTCTTGATGGAAAGAACCCATTCAAGGGAGGCCTCATTCCCTGTCACAACAACTCAGACCCCTCCAGCATCAGAATCAGAATCAAATCAACATAACTCAAAACCCTAAAGCCCTAACGCCATAAAGATATGAACATGTTCAATGAGTGAAAGGGTCTGAAAGAGTTGAAAAAATGATCTGCACTGCAGGAAACGCCGATATGAAATTATACAGGTTTAGTAACTAGGTGAAATGCCATCATGATCAAACAGTGTGAAAGGGCAGTCAGCAGTCAGTCCTGAACCCCTGGGCGAACTGACGAATACGAAGCCGGTGCAGAAGCGTTGGACTCAAGCACTGGTGTGGCCGAAGAAATGCAAACAGGGGTCTGATATGTACACACCCACTGCAACTCCCATACAATGTGTGTCTTGTTTTCTTTCTTGATCCCCAAGTCTGCCTTCAAGTTGGTGAAGTGCTGCTGGTCCGCTGGTAGCCCACAAGGTGAAGACGCACCAGCTGCCAAGAGTTTCTCTGTCTCTAAGCGACGGTTTGAAATAAACCTGAACTTCCCGATCACCTTGTAAACATGGTCTCCGTCAACGCCAGCAGTGCAATTTCCAGCGAAGTCAGGTTCGTCATGGTGGACAGCCACGTAGATTTCATGACCAGTAGTCAAAGTTCGGCACTGGAAAGGCATGAAAACAAAATGCTTCATGTCAGGGTTTTGGCAAGTCTCTAAATTGCACAGTAAACGTGCTTCTTCACTTCGCAAAATCACTGCACAAGTGTCTTTCATCAAGAGGGTGTCAAGCTTGCTAGCCTTTGGCTTTGGTGGGACTGGCATGGATTTGGCAGCTGTAGGTTTCCCACTGCTGCCACCACTGGCTTCCCTAGATTTAGGGCTTGAAGCAACCATCGCCTTGAATCCGGCTTGCCGGCTTGCCACCGCACAGGAACCAACGTTGCCAAAATGGCTCAATGGCTCAATTGTCGGAATGAACAGCTACAAACTGTGCAAGTACAAGTAAGTACAAGTGGTTGTCTCGCATCTTTAATCTTGCATAAGACATGTTGACATAATTCTGTAGCATCATTTAGAAACAAAAACCAAACCTGATTGCTGATTGCCTGATTGCAGCTTGAACTTTCCGTGTTCTGTGTGCGTCATGACAGCGACTGCATGCTGTCAGCTGCTGTCAGTGAAAAACCTTTGGAAGCTTCTGGAAACGCTATCAGAGTCAGGTGCTTTTGGAAAGCTTTTGCTGGTTAAACTAAACACCTTGACGTGTGAGACTTGGTACTTGATACTTGAATCAAAGTGACAGTCAGAGTCACAGTCATGAACCGTGAGTGTGGCTGGCCATCACACATTGCAACTACAACTAGTTGTCAGAAAGTAGCATTCTCAAACATAAAGTGGCTGATCGGCGGATCGGCTGATCCATAGGAACTCGAGAAAGTCACTGAGAGTCTTCGTGGACATGAACATGTGAAGTCAGTGAAACCACTGTACAGCTGGCAAAGTCGCCAAATCTTTAATGTCAACCTCTCTAACTGCCTTGATTTGATTTATGTACTTATCTGTCCAGTCCAGTCATGTTTCAACTTCAGTCCTCCTTAGTCCTCACTTGAAATCCGAACCCAAACCTCTTAAACCAACCACGCCTGAGCCCCAGCAAAGCAAGCCAAGGACAGTAGGAGAACTTGGATCTGCCGACCTCGCTTCGATTCAAGCAAAAGAAAGTGAGACTGCGGTCAGAGTGTAAACTTCCCTATTATCATATCATATCTGCAGTATATGCTGCAAAGTCCAGCGATTCTATTCTGATAAGATCACAGGGAATGGATATGCGAGTCTTAGCCTGTGTCTGCAAAACCGGAATTGAACGAGTAAGTCAGTGAATCAGTCCTCATGTCCTCGAGTCCTCAAGAGAAAATTACAAGAGACAGTCAGAACAGATAAAAACATGCAGGAAGGAGTAAGCTGCAAGCAACAGGGATACTGATAGACTGATAGTCTAAAAGTCAAACTGTCAAACTGCACAAATGCACAAACTAACTTCTGTGTTTATCTCGTCGCTGTCGTCGTCGCTCTATGTTTATTAATTCCCTTGCCTTTTGGGTCTGGGAATTGTCATTCATGACATCAAGGTCAAATGGTTTTGACCATAGACGGTGCCATGCAACCACTCGGACTCGGAAATGGATCAACTGATCAACAGCCCCAGTCGCAGACTCGCAGACAGAATCCTGTCCTAGCATTGGAACTGTCACGTAGGCACATAGACCTATAGACTCATAGACATGGAAATAGCAACATGTATCATGGAATGATGAAATTGAAATCATCAGAAAATAAACTGATGTGAGCTAAAGCTATCAGTTCAACTACTGAAGTGCGAGAGTTAGTTCAGCGTTCAACTGTGTTAGTCTTACATCCAAGTGGAAATGGCCTGGACATGGGAATTGCCTTGTTGGCAACTCGGCATATGGTTCAAGATTGGCTGAAACTGAAACAGCAGGAGCCACCCAAATCTTGCGATCTGATCTGTACAGTACACGGTAGCCTGCAGCAGTATCAGCTATACAGCCCTGACAAGTGTCAAGACTGCGGAGGCAAGACGCATGACACACACTGACACGCAGAGGACAAAACAATTTGTGTTGTGAGAGTCTTGCTAAACAACCTCGGACCTCGGACTGACATTCAAGAATCCGAGACAAACAAAGGATCTCAGCAGCTATGCCTATGCTATGTTCATAGGACGCTAGCAGGTCGATTCTCAACAAGTTTCTCCATCAGCCATTCATTGGTTGAGACTGGCTACGGCTCTGCTTTCGATACCATATCGGCACTTCAATCGCAGGGCTGCGACACATGACAAATCCCACATGGCATGGTCTGCCTCTCCTACCCTACGATCAATTCAAGAGACAGGCAGGGCCTACCTCAACATGTGCTTGGCCATCTGAAGCACATCTTTCACCAACGCGTTCTTGGTCTTCTTTGCTTTCTCCTGGCAACAGATTTGACGACGCAACAAGGTTTGCTACTCTAGTCATAGTCAGCACAGCGCGCCATTTTGGTGAATGGAAACTACTGAATCTTGGCTGGTGAAAACCAGCAAGGAATCAATGAAACACCCGTAAGTAAGAGGTAAGAGTCTGTCTGAGAAGGAGCGAGGAGAGAACGGAGACAAACACTGAGCATACACAGAGTCGCAGAGTAGTCTTGAGATGCCTTGGGTCATGAATGCTGTAGTTGCGGATGACACATGTGACCCATGTGCTAGATGATTGACTCAGCTGAAACAAGAGCCAACTTCAACAGTAATTTGACTGAACGGAAATGGTATTGATGCTAATGCCCCCAAAACCCTGCCTTGGCCTTTGGGACTGTTCCCTGGCGTTCAGCTTCAGAACAAGCGGCTTGGAATCCAAACTGAATTGTGTGCTCTTCAGCAGCAGGCTTGTTGATGTTTTTTTGCGCTTCTTGGAGTGCTTGCTGCATCAGCTTCGTGCGATTCGATTTCATTTTGTCATCATCACCTTGCAGCCGGGTCAGCGACACAAACTGTGGCTTCTGGACTGACTCTTTGGCCTTTGTAACCAACTCCTCAATCTTTTCCTCTTGCTTAAGCAGTGTCTGAAGAACCTCGATAGATTCTGCCTTGGACCCGGGAATGTCCATGCCCAATGTTTCGAACAGTTGCTTCTCTTGTTTCCCTACAACTTCTTCATCTTCCCCTGTCCCCTCCTCCTTGGTGCTTGCGGCGCTTGTGGTTTTTTTTTCTTTCCTGCCTTTGCCTTGGCTTTCTGCACTATGGTTACCATTTGGCGAACCTGTTTCTCAGCAATCTTTCTCTGTGACTTCAAATCCTCATCCAGTTTCGCATCGATGTTGTCCAGGGGACACATGCATTGCACAGTCAATTTGACAACAAGGTGAGGTGTGCCATTGGACAGGACCTTTGCCACCAAAGGATGCGAATCTTGCGGAACATTCAAGTAAGTGGCACTGAAATCCAAGTCTGATTCCCCAGTCTTGTGGAGAAGCACAGTGCAGTCAATGGATTTCAGCTCGAAGAATGCTTGATCTGCCCTGGACACTGGACGTGCTGCCCACCCAGGGATGCACATGGTGGCATTCAAATGGTCTTTCAGTGGCTCCATCCAAAAGTCAACCTGGGACAAGCAGCTGACTTGCAAACATGATTGCTTGAATTGAGTCATCAGAGTCATTAGATTGCACCATCGCACATTATTCAATTCATGGACATTGCGCAAAATAAAATACAGTGCTGCTAGCCTTTGGCTGCTGGCTGTTGTAAGCCCATACAGTATGTTAAGTAAAATTAGTTTCTCTGGTGAAAACATCTGAATTTAAAACGTGCAGGCAGTCAGTGTCACAGTGACTCAAATGTCCCACATGTAAGTGTAGCAACGTAGTGACCGCACAAATGAGAATGCCAGTGCCAGTCACCAATCTTCACAAATCATGGCCCCACAACCATTGTATGATTGCCCCGATTGACTCGAAACATGCTTTTGAAAAATGTGAGTAAGTGTCTTTTGTTGTCTTGAATTTAGAGTTTTGAATCTCAAAGGCTTCAAAGAGCTTCAGAAGGTTCTAGAGGCAGTCAAAGACTTCTATGCTCCACTCCAATCCAGCTGAGAAACTCCAAAGGCTTTTGTGCACAACGTGGCTCCTTTTGAATGTGTCGTTGTCAAGTAGTGGATCTGAGGAAGGCACATGTCACCTGGAGCAGAAAGGGATACCTGCAAGCCATCCTGCTTAGCTGATTTGCTGTTCATTGCCTTGACATTGATCTTGACACTGGATTCACCCCGGGTCAACTCAGGCAGGATGTCAAGCAAGCACAAGTTCAAAGACGTTTCCAACTTCTTGAAGAAGAGCGCACCAGCTTTTTTCAGGCCAAAGGACTTCAACTCGTCTTCAGCACGTTTCTGGTGGTCCTCAGACATGAAGTCGTTGAAGGAATTCAGTGTGACCATTGATTGATCCTTCTCCGACTCCTTCTCCTTCTTCTTGTCCTCGCCATCACCAGCTTCACCACGAACTTCTACTTCTGCTGGAGCGGCAACGGCAGCACCTGCCCGGCCAAGCAGTGAGTGCAGGAATGAAGATAAGGACAACTTGATTTCTGAAACTTAAATAAATCAAATGAAGCCAATGAGTCAAACGACTCAAATAACAGATGACAGATGGGACAGATGAGAAGAGAAAAAGATTCGAGGCAGCCGAGGTAGCAAAGGTGACTGACTCGCAAACTTGGATTGCTCAAAGATTCAAAAACCAACAACAAGATCAGAACTGAAAGGTCCCACCAGCTCAAGTTATGGTTGGGATTAGGATCGAACGTTCAAACATAAGCATGTTCCATGACCATCATCATCGTCATCATCATCATCATCACCATCATCATCACCATCATCGTCAACATCGTCGTCGTTGTCCTGCTCTGCTTGCATAGGCAGCAGCAGCAGCAGCAGCACCACCACCACCAACACGACCACCACCACCACCGTCATAAGTGTCATTAGAGTCGTTAATCATTGCAGAATTTAACCATAATCGACAGCATCATCATTCTCATCATCAGCACTATCATCTAATCTAATCATGTACATTACAAAACCGACATTAACGAGTCATCATTGCATTGCTTCATTGTCTTCAACATTGTCATCAATCAGACAGCAGCAAGACTCAGCGATCAAAATCATTGCAAATGTCAAATGTAACCTGCAAACCACGTTGAGAAATTTCTCATATATATATATATATCTAAGGGTAAAGATTGCAACCGCCAAATTCAAAGTGTTCACTCGCAAACTGCAAGTACAACACAGCTCAACACAACCCCAGTCCAGCCTTTCTGGTTGCCAGCTTCTTCATCAGGTTTCAATGTCTTTGCCTTTGCGCATGGTTTTTGTCCTTCGGCAACTTTGGAAATTGCCCTCAAGCTCTCTAGCAGGCTTGCCCTTTCATCATTTGCACCTGCCCCTTTCCCTGAAACCTCTCCTTGCCCCCCTTGCACTTGCATAGCAGGCGTCAATCGCTTGACATGTTTCACGACGTCCGTTTCAGAAGCTGACTGCTGTAGAACCTCTGCCCATTTGACACCCCAATCCCGGGATGACAGAATATTGTCAAATGAAGTCAGGAAATCCTTGTGCCCCTTCAACTTTTGAGGTAGAAGCGAGAAGAAGTCCAGTTGCTCCTTGGTAGCGTCTGTCAACACAAACTCACACGCGGAAGTCACGGCAGAGCTCACAATGTGCAGCAAGTACTGCATACGGAGCGACATGAACTTTTCCAGGATCTCAGCACTTCCAAATACCTTTCGTCTTGACCCAATTCGGTGATCTTAGCGCAAATAACTTTAAATTTTAGATTGCTGTTAGGTTGTCTCTGTCTAACTAGCTTGTTGTTACCCAAACTTGCCTCGCCTTTTGCCTAATCCATGTTCTGCTATGTTAGTGTTGAGTCGGTGTATACTGGATATGGCAGGAGGATGTATCAAAACAAAGGTTGCCCGAAACCTTGAAAAATAAGCCTAAATTTGAATGTTTCGGGCACCTCCCATTTTGAGACATGCCCGTATCCAGCATCAAGCAAATTCTGTTCTAAAGTAAAAAGCAAAATCAGAAAACCATTGTTTCAACACCCAGGCCTCTTGTGTGCCCTCAGCGAACGAACTCTGCCCTGCAAACAATTCTGCAACGTCAACTGCCAGAGATACCCATTTGAACGGCAAGCCTTGTTCTAGGTCAGATTGGATTTTGCAAATCATGTCCACAATTTCCATTCGCTTGCAGTCGCTGTTCAGGAACCTCAGGCACAGCTGGGTTCGATGAGTCGATGAGTTTTGAAACCAAAAAGCTGCAGAGATTCAGAGATGCAAATTGTGAGAAAATATATTTTGTTTTACTTTGTGGTTGACTGATCTTGGCCATCAAAAGTCATTACATCATTACATCATTACCAACTGCAGCTTGCAGACCAGTGAGTCTAACCGCAACCACTTTACCTTCCTGGCAACAACAATAGTCTCAAATGCTCATTGAGCCAGGAAACCTTTTGACACACTGGACGATTGAGTCATGCATCATCACTGGCATCTTCATTGCGCTAGTCAGAAAAGACTTCAAAGGCAAAGCAGTGGTTGAATACTCTGTCGACATCACAGTTGCCACGCGTTTCAAAGCCCCAGCTTCATCATCGCCCATGACCAACTGGTGCACAGGCGGGGAAACAAATGATTTGCAGAGCACCTTTGCCAACTCCAAAGCGGATAGCTTTCTCTCTGCCTGACCACCATCTTTGCTACCAGAACCTGGCCCTGTACCAGCCAAAGCGGGAGCCCTCACAAAGTCCATTGCTGCAACATAGGTCGCCTGAATCTCTGGACGGGCCGCTGACCACAAACGAAGATCTTTGCCCCGAAGGCAGACACGCCCCTCAAAGAGGAACTGTAGGAACAACCCAGCCTTAAGTATGCAAGGCAAGGCAAAGCAAGTCAACAACTCAAGACTCAACAACTCAGGAACCACAACTTCAACTTCCAGTTCGCCAGTTCGCTTAAAAGTTCAATGCCAGTGCCAGTCACATAGCCTTTGAGTTGTCAGTCAGTGTGTTTTGGTGTGTGTTTGTGTACCTGATAGCTAATATTGTGTGGGGAGCCATTTTCCCATTGCCTTTCCTCAAATATTATGTTATATAGCTGATTAACCATGCTTACAAATCCCTGCCAAGTAATGACTGACGCAATCACAATCACCAAAACCTCACCAAGAAGCACAGAAACTGAAGGTGCTTTCCAAACTTTCACGTGGTACGCCATCACCATGCATGGCCTTAGTTTTGATACCCCTCATCATCACCCGTCGGACTCAATTCTAGATGAATACAACAACCCTAACAACCCCTATATATACATTTAAGCGATGAAATAGCCAGTGTCAAATAATAGCAAAAATAATAATGATAATAATAATAATAATAACCATCATCATCATCATCATCATCACGATGTATATAAATATTTTTTAAATATATATATATATATAAACACATGTTGGTTGGTTGTGAATTCCCGTGCGTCCAAGAATCCACAACAAGGTCTTCGGCATATTTCATAGCTTGCATGAAATCATCAATGGCAGTAATTGGTCGTGTCAAATGGTCATCAACAGCTGTGCTTGAACTCAAAGATGTAGCCACTGTGCGAAAACACTTCTTCTCATCATCACTGAAAGGTGTGAATGATGACTTCTTGTCTGATTTCTTGATCTTCACTTCGCTTGCACTGGTGGCATTGACACGCGAGCCCGGGCCACCCAAGCCTCGAGTGAAAAAAGATGAAGCATGGAAATGCACATAGGTGGAGTTACAAGTTACAACAGTCTACCATTGCTCCGACTATCTGGAACATGCCGCGCACAACATAACTAGAATATTAGAACACATGATCATGATTATGATGTCTGGAGAGGAAATGAATTGCACGGCACTGGCTATCAGTCATGGTCCTGGTTTGATCAAAGGTGGTCGCAGGCTCACAGGTCACAAGTTTCAGATGCTTTGCAGCTATTGCTGTAATGAATCACAAAACTCACAAAACCAATGGTATATTGATCAATGAAAAGTATATTATCGAAAAGACTTAGATCCCAGGCTATATAACCCCTGCTGGTCAAGATCAATCGTACGAGACAAGACTTCAAGTGGTTTCAAGTGACTTCAAGAAGGTCTGAACGAGAAAATCTGGTTTGGTTTGGTCCAGTCTGCAAACAAGAAACTTGCAGATGCTCCTCGTGAGGGTCCCTCAGGAGCCTCAGGCTCATCAATTACATTCTCACCTGCCATCTTCTCATCAGTCTCTGTTTCTGTCCGCTGTTTCTTGGCGGAGCACAAGCCAGCATCTGTCCAGAGCTCGGTCATTTCAGAGGTCCAATGGATACCCCTCTTCCCAGAAGTCTTTGAAGCTGACATGGGCTCTGCTGGGGTCGCTGGCGCTGACCCAACTTCTTGCTTAATGCCTGAACTGGTGGCACCAGAGCCCTCCCGGTTGGCCAGCTTCTTTGCCACAGAACTCTCAGCCATCGGAAAATTCAGAAGGTTCATGCGACCGGCATCATGCTCAAAGTGCTTGAAGCTCCATGCTGGAAGCCTCTCTCCTGCTGATGTGACTTCAGCCTTTGGCACCTCAATCCATAAACAGGAGTTGTAGCATGGTTTTGGACACATGTGCCACGTCAACACTCCACATAATAATAGATCCAAAGAAACCTGAAACCAAACATATGTTTCGGTCTAGTTCAGCGAGCGTCCAGTTTCACAACATACCCCAACTGAAGCGCATAACTTTTGAAAGCCAGCAATCACATGAAACTCAGCATTTCAGCCAGAGCCAGAGACACCCAATCATTTTTCTACAATCGTCTGAGGTTTGAACCTAATCATTTTTCAAAACCGTTTTGATTTTACCATCAAACGATCCATGAACCAATGGCCCTAATCTTGGCTCGGCACGCAATGACGAAGGGCATGCAAGAGAACGACGCCAATCTCTTCTGGGCAATAGAACTTCTGCATGTTTCCAGTGATCAAAAGTGTCAGGCTGTGCATGGCAGCAATCACTGCGCTTGGCTCCATCTCTGTTCCAATGAAATCGACATGTCGGTTCCAAAACGTCTTCATGTCAGAGTAGATCTTGAAACGCTGCAAGGTGTGAACAACCGACAGTGCCTTCCGGTAGTTGTCCCAGTCACGAAAGTACATACCTTGGCATCGCAGTGAATCTGCTGAAGTGTTGACTATGGCCCATGGCAAAATGGAAAAAGAGCATACAATCTCAATAGTTATGTTTCTAGTTCCATATCTTTCCAATTTTCCTGCTGGTTTGGCACCCCAAAATCTGACCCCCACAACTCTACCCTCAGTAACCTTTTTCCTACAGGTTTGCTACATGTTTAGTTGGTTGTGGGGGTCAGATTTTGGGGTGCCAAACTAATAGGAAAATTGTTACCATATCTTATTTCTCTGTTTTGAATCAATAA